AGTGGGTATAAAGGGGCTGAACCAGAGACCCTCAAGGTGTCTTTACTAATTAAATGTCACCAAAGAGAAGCAAACCACAGCCCTTGTCTGGCCTGCTGTGTTTTCTTTTCCCCAACTTCCTCTCACAATATGTCTTTCCCTACAGCCTTCAAAGCCATTGCGAATAATTAGAACTTTTAAGCTTTAAGAGGATGTAACATGAATTTGAATTAATTTATTCCTTGTCAGCCAAGACAAGCATCACCCAGAATTCTTTAAAACACTAGTTCTGAGGGGTGGGTGTTCATAGCTGGTCAGTGAACGAGTAGGGAAGGGAGAATTACGTGGGCAACTAAACTTAGGAAACTCTGGTTAAGAAAAAAATTTGAAAAAAAGTGATGCAACTTGGTTTTATTGGCCTTTTAATAGCAACTGATCTTAGAACATAAGAAGCAGGGTGGGAGGGGGCAAGCGTGGCATTGACTGTCAAGAGATTTGACAAGTACAGATCCTATTTTTATTACTTGGTCATTACCTTTGCTTTTCCACATTAAAAGCCAGCTCCACGAGCTTATTCCGAGTACTCTGGGTGACAGAGATGGAGTGAACCTCTTAGACTGCTAAATATGTCCACTCAAAATGTAGCAGAAACAGCTAAATCACATAGTTGTGCTGATTTGCCTTCTTCATAGTTTCAAGTTAAGGAAATAAATTGATTCCCTTTCTTCCTTATTCAGCACAAATTTGGTTTGCTGATGTATACCCAAATCTTTTGAACATAGAAATGTTCTTTTCACGTTATTGTGCATTATTTAATTTTTTAGTTCTGTGTGTGTCAGGATTTTTATCCTGAGAACTATATAAAATTGTATGTCAACTAAAATTAAGAAATTAAAAAAATGATTAGCGAGAGATATGGGGCACTCTGAGGCCAGATAACCCAGTAATTAGAACATTATATAACTTACTAAGTGGTCATCCCAATAAATCTCATACCCATCTGACACCATACATAGTCATTATAATATTATTAACTATAATGCCTATGTTGTACCTTACATCCTTATGACTATTCTGTAACTACCAATACTCCTGCTCCCTCTCCCTCCCTCTCTCTCTAACATGAATAAAGAAAAAAAATGTACTTTTTAATCCCTTCACCTTTTCTACCCACCCACCAACCACTCCCATCTGGTAATCATCAAAATGTTCTCTGTATCTGTGAGTCAGTTTCTGATCTGCTTGTTCATTTATTTTGTTTTTCAGATTCAATTGTTAATAGAGATATATTAATGCCATTTTGTTGTTCAGATTTTTTATCTTTTTTTTCCCCTTTCTTCCTCTTAAAGAATATCCTTGAGCATTTCATGTAATAATGTTTTGGTGGAGATGAATTTCTTTAGCTTTTTCTTGTCTGGGAAGATCTTTATCTGTCCTTGCATTCTAAATAATAGCTTTGCTGGGTAGAGTAATCTTGGTTGTAGGTCTTTGCTTTTCACCACTTGGAATATTTCTTACTGATCCCTCTGGCCTGCAAAGTTTCTGTTGAGAAATCAACTGAAAGACTTATGGGAGCTCCTTTGTAGGTAAGTAACTGCTTTTCTCTTGCTGTTTTTAAGATTCTCTCTTTGTCTTTAACCTTTGGCATTTTAATTATTATGTGTCTTGGTGTGGGCCTCTTTGGTTCATCTTGTTTGAACTCTCCACACTTCCTGGGCTTGTGCGTCTACTTCCTTTACCAGGTTAGGGAAGTTTTCTGTCAGTTTTTCAAATAGGTTTTAAATTCCTTGTTCTCTCTCTTCTTCTTCTTCCAGCACCCCCATGATGCAAATGTTGGTACACTTGAAATTTTCCCAGAGGCTGCTTACACTATCCTAATTTCTTTTTAATTCTTTTTTATTTTTGCTGTTCTTATTGGGTGTATTTTTGCCTCCTTATGTTCCAAATCTCTGATTTTGTCCTCTATTCATTTACTCCACTGTTGATTCACTGTAATATAATCTTCATTTCAATTAATGTATCCTTCATTTATGACTGGTTCTTTTTTATGACTTCCATGTCATTTTCCATGCTCAAGTTCTCTGAGCAGCCTTATAACCAGTGTTTTGAACTCTGCATTTAATAGATTGCTTGTCTCCATTTTGTTATTTTTTTCTGGAGTTTTGTTCTGTTCTTTCATTGGGGACATGTTTCTTTGTTTCCTCATTTTGGCGTCCTCTCTGTGTTTGTTTCTATGTATTAGATAAAATTGCTATGTCTCCCGGACTTGGTAGAGTGGCCTTTTATGTAGTAGGCATCCTGTAGGGTCCAGTGGCACAGCCTCTCCATTCACCTGAGCTGGCACTTCAGGTGCACTCCCTCCACCACCATGGGCTGTGGACACTCTCCTGTTATAGCTGAGCCTCGATTGCTGTGGGCACATCAATGGGAGGGATTTAACCCCAAGCCTATCAGCTGTAAGGACTGGCTGTGACCACCATGGAGGATGAGCTGTGCAGGGGCCCACCCCACAGAGCAGGACTTACTTTAACAGGGCTCTGGTGCCCACTGAGTCTGCCCTTTGAGTGTGTTACTTGTGGAGGTTGTTAGGTGGTGTTTCGATGTGGTCTGAAGCTGTCAACTGGTTGCACTGGCTCTGGGGTCTCCAAGGAGGTGTAGGCCAAAGTTAGCTGCCACCTATGTTCTGCCTTGGGCCTCCTGGCATGAGCTACAAAGTGATCTGCAGATGGCTGCTACTTGTGCTGGGCTTGGAGGTGCCCATGAGAAGCCAAGCTTCGAACTAAGGCTGGCTGCCAGTAGTGCCAGGCTAGGACCACGTGGTGAGAGATACAAGGCACTCTGAGGTCAGATGCTACTTGTTTGAGAGATTGTAGGAAATTCTGAAGTATAAGCCAAGACAGGTCATTGGTATGGAAAAGCTAATGGAAATACCTTGAGTGGGCCCTCAAGTTGGGTGGGTAGGGCCTTAGGGAATCACTAGGGTTGGGTGAGTAGTGTTAGTCAGGTTGACTGAGACTCAGATATGGCAGCCACCTGTCGGCTCTGTGCAAGGAGGTCTTAGAAAAGGAATAGTGTCCTCTGCTAACACTTTTGTCTGGGAGAAAGATTCCCTCCAGCTCTCGCCCTGATGCCATACAATTCAGTCCCTCCCCACATATCCCTGGTGCCTTTCAAGCTGATGCCCCAGTGCTCTAGCTCAGAGCCAGTGAGTCTGAGTAATTCTGTTTGTGGGTCTTTAAAGAGAAACTGCCTGGGACTCAGTCAGCCACAATCCCTGCTGGTTTTTACAACTTCTTTTCTGGCACTGGAACCCTGGGCTGAGTGGTCTGGTGTGGAGCCGAGACTCCCCACTTCTTAGGAGGCACCTCTTAAATCAAGGTATCCCTCCCTGTTTTTATCCACCAGATGTGATGGTGGGACCAGCCTGTTCCATGTCTCCATCCCTCCTACCTGTCTGGATGTGACTTCTTTATATCTTTAGTTATAGGATCTCTGCTCACCTATATTTCAGGCAGTTCTAAATGAGGGTTGTTCTGTAGTTTAGTTGTAATTTTGATGTGGTTGTGGGAGGATACAGTACTGCATTTACCTATACCACCATTTTGACTGGAAGCCTAGAATGGTTAATAGTAAAAAAAACAACAAAGAAGTAACAGATGTTGATTAGAATGTGGAGAAAAGGAAATATAAATGAGTACAGCCACTATGAAAAATAGTATGGAGGTCCCTCAATAAATTAAAAATAGAACTACCACATGATTCAGCAATTCTAGGTGTTAGAATATATCCAAAGGAATTGAGAACACTGAATATGGGGAGCCATCTGTGACCCTATATTCATAGGAGTATTATTTACAAAACCAAGACATGAAAACAGAACACATGGATAAAGAAATTGTGGTGTGACCCTGCCTGGTTTGGCTCAGCAGTTAGAGCATCTGCCCTTGAAACAAAGGATCTCAGGTTTGATCCCTGGCCTCAGGCTCGGTTGTTGGGGAGGCAACCAATTGATGTGCCTCTCTCACATCGATGTTTGTCTCTAGCTCTCTTCCTCCCTCCTTTCCACTCTATCTAAAAAACAATGGAAAATTATCCTTGAGTACAGATTGACAAAAAAAAAAAGAAAGAAAGAAAGAAATTGTAGTGTGTGTGTGTGTGTGTGTGTGTGTGTGTGTGTGTGTACAATAGAATATTACTCAGCCACAAAAAAGAAGGAAATCCTCCCATCTGTGACAACATGGCAATATGCTGAGTGAAATAAGTCAGAGAAAGACATACAACAAGTCCTTGCATAACCTCATTTCATTCAATGAAGTTTAGTTGTAAGATTAATGAATACCTTAGAAGCTTAACTCTTGTTTATAGCAATTATCCTATGGTAAAACTGGTTTCATTATAATCAATTGACTGAAAGTCACAGAATTGATTGACAACATTAAATGAGAGCTTACTATACTGTATGGTCTCACCTGTATGTGAAATTTTAAAAAAGAAGAAAAAGAGATCAGATTTATGGTTACCAGAGCTGGGGAACTGGATGAAGGTGGTGCAAAGGTATAAGCTTCCAGTTATAAGATAAATGAGATCTAGGGATGTAATATACAACGTGGTGACTATAACTAATAACACTGCTATTTGGTACATATGAAAGTTGTTAAGTGAGTAGATCCTAAGAGTTCTCTTCACAAAGAAGAAGGCATTTTTTTCCTTTTTCTTTTTTTGTATTTATATGAGATAATGGATGTTACTAAACTTATTGTGGCAGTCATTTTATAATACATGTAAATCAAATTCTTATACTGTATACCTTAAATTTACACAGTGATTATGTCAATTATGTCTCAATAAAATGGGATTAAAATGATTTGACATAGACATACCGTAAAAATAAAGAAAGAATTCAGTGTTTCATCTTGGTTGTGGCACACCTGAGTTGGGGGGTGGGGAGAGTAGAACAAGGAAAACTGTGCCCAATTTAGAAGTTTTTGAAATACCATAGGTTAATGTTTTAAACTTCTCAGGTTGTATCCACACCATGCGAGTGCCCTGAACAACCTTGGGACGCTGACGAGAAACACGGCAGAGGCGAAGGTGTACTATCAGAGGGCTCTCCAGCTGAATCCGCAGCACAACCGAGCCCTGTTCAATCTGGGGAATCTCCTTAAGTAAGTAGCATGTGTACCTCTGATCAGGTGGTCTTGTAATTTCCAGAAATCCTTTTCCTCTCCACACTTACTTGGTTATGCTATTGTCTCCTCTTCCAAGAGTGATATAATTAGGGGTTTCAAGCTTCAGGGGGATGTTGTATTCATCTGAATTAATTCTGTCCCTTATCAGTCAAAAAGAGTATTTTCCAGAGTGTCTTTCTGGAAATAACTAGTTCTGGGAGATGTTCATAAAACGTCTGAAGAGAGGCGAGATTAGGAAAGGATTACATGGTCAAATAAATTTAAGAAATGCTGAGTTAATTTTAACATAGTTGCTTTATTGCAAGAATTTCTAATATGCTAAATGCCCTGTGAATCTTCAAACAGGGAATATGGCATTTCCCAAGTCATCCTGCTTTAGGTGGGGCATTGCCCAGGTATTTCGTGGGGATACTTTGGGGAAAGCGCAGGTCTAGGAAAAGCAGTCTGCCCTAAAGGTGTAACCAAATGATGTAACCCCAGCTCATGCCCAAGTTTGTAGGTAAAAACACAGTGAGGCAAACCTGGAATTAGTAATGAGTAGGCTAACTCTCGCTCTTAGGATGGCCTCCCAGGCATAATCACCTGTGTTGGCTCTTCCCTGCTGCCCTGTAAGGGCTGATAGTGCGATCAGTATCACCGAAGACTGACACAAAGGGGTACTTTCATATTTTTACTAATAGGAAGTCGAGGCACGTCGGTGATGGTGCTGGCAATGACAGTAGTGATAGTGGCGGTGGTTCTAGAATTTAACTCCTAAACTTAGAAAAAGCAGGTTGAAGACACTAGAACTGGAAATTAAAAGGTAGAAATGGTTGGCCTCAGCCTGTAGAAACGTATTTATGTGTCCTTGTTAGGATGCTGACAATCTACACACGTACTGACCTGGCTTCCGTGCCTCTGCACTGCTAGAGGCTCATGGTATGCCTTGTGCTTTACCCTCTCCCCGCAGGGTTGTTGTACCCGCCCCATAACCTCTATGTGCTTTACCCTTTCCCCACAGGGTTGTTGTACCCGCCCCATAACCTCTATGTGCTTTACCCTCTCCCCACAGGGTTGTTGTACCCGCCCCCACAACCTCCGTGTGCTTTCCCCTCTCCCCACAGGGTTGTTGTACCCGCCCCATAACCTCTTTGTGCTTTACCCTCTCCCCACAGGGTTGCTGTACCCGCCCCATAACCTCCGTGTGCTTTACCCTCTCCCCGACAGGGTTGCTGTACCCGCCCCCACAACCTCTGTGTGCTTTACCCTCTCCCGGACAGGGTGGTTGTACCCGCCTCCATAACTTCTATGATGTCCCTCTTCGCTTTCCTGTTTACTCCTTGAATATTATGTATACATATAGATATTAGTACTAACAAGCTCCCTTGAAAAATAAGAATAAATCAAATATTTTGGGGAAAATGAGTTCTAATTATTGTAGATAACTAGTTACAGTTTTTACCTTACTATTTTTTTTTTTAATCCTCACCTGAGGACACGTTTCCATTTTTTGTTCAGATAGAGTGGGAAGGAGAGAGAGGAAGAGAGAGAGAGAGAAACATCGACGTGAAAGGGACCCATCAAGTGGTTGCCACCCGCACAACCGGGGACAAACTGCAACCGAGGTACGTGCCCTTAGCGGGAACTGAACCAGGGTATCTCTGGGCAGCGGGCCGATGCTCTAACCGCTGAGCCAAAATGACCAGGGCTATCTTACTATTTTTATAAACTTTTATTTCTTTATGTGAAGTTCTAAGGACTCATGTTTTAAAGTCATTGTACATTTGCATATGTCTTAACTCAGCACCCAAACAACTTCACTCTGGGTCCAAGCCTGTCATTGTCTTGTAGATGAGTTTTTGTTCTTTTGTTTGTTTGTTTCAAAAAAGCCAGCTTTAAAAGCTTGTGTATGTAGTACTGGTTCCTATGATGGTAGAGATTCTTATAAATTCATCTTGTCAAGACCTGAACAAGAGATGTACGATACTCTCACCTTCCTTTTTCAGTTCACCTCTGATTGCCACCAACTATTATCTTGAATTAGTACCTGTGAGTTAAAATGACAAGGAAATAGTTTTTGGAACACAGCAGTGACTACTCTTCCCTGGGAGGGACTCCTGGGTACCTAACACAGACTTGTTTCTCTCTCCGTAAAATCAGCTCTTGATGATTATCTGAACCAACCATGCTTGCATGTGTATAGGACTGTAGTTCTGAGTGCTTTTTCTATGAGGCCCTCCCAGTGATGAGAGTAGACAAGGAAGAAGAGGGAACCATGGCCCTAGGAGGTTAGGTGTCTGTACACAGTTTACCTTCTGCTCTTTCACGTCACACCGGAGAGCAAAGTGGCTATATCTGTGTATATTCTTAGAATCCAGTAGAATAAAATCACCATCAAAGCTAACATTCATGTAGTACTGTCCAGTTTACAGATGTGTTTTTATAGCCATTATTCAATTTAATCATTAAAACAAGCAGTTGTGTGAGGTATTATCCTCATCCCCATTTTACAGATAAGAAAACCGAGGTTTGGAGAGCTCTTCCGACCTTGGCCTAGGCTGTGGCAGACCCACGATGGAATTCCTGTCCTTGGACTTTTGTCCTGTTTATTTTCCATTGACCATGCTGCTAAAATAGCTCTTCTATCCAAAAATGGCTTAATATTTAGTTATTTAATGGCTTACAATTGCCTTTTGAGAGGAAGGTCCTTCCTGTTTTTCTTATACAAACAGTAAAGATTGTTTACACTAGATCCCCGAGTAGCAGAGAGAGGTGACTCAGAAAACAGCAGAGCTAATGCACATTTAGGTAATTCCGAGTTTTACTTTTGATTTCCTTAGTATTTTTCTGCTAAGTGGCAATGAATCAAAGGCAAAAGGAGGATGAGAATATTATAAATTTGGCTTGATTTAATCTATTTTACTATTTATTTAAGATTTATACCACATTTATTTCTCATTAGGCAGCTAACTTAAAAATTGTACCCCTTTATACTGTGAAGTGAGGGACAGGGGTGGGGGTGGGAGGAGGGTGTCAATGGGGGGAAAAGGAGGAACATCTGTAACAAAACTTAATTAATTAAAAACCAAAAAACTGTCCCTTTTGGAAATATAGAACTTAATGCTCATTCTAAGAACCCAAGTGATCTCTTTAGATATGAGCAGTCTAGATTGGAGCAGTAATGTGCCACCGGCCCTCAGGGAGGAAACAGACCTGGGAACTGAAGCTGCATCTGTCTGACCCAGTACCCTTTCCCTTTGCCACCAGGCGGCTGCCCCCTAGTGGCTCAGCTCAGAACTGGGATACAGTCTAACGCAGCGCTACCCAAGAGAAATATAATGCGTCGGAAAATGTAATTAAAAATTTTCAGGTGGCCATATTTCAAAACATAAAAAAGGTGAAATTAATTTTAGTGATATATTTTATTTAACCCCAATATATCCAAACTATTGTCATTTTAGCATGTAATTAATCTTAAAAAGTAATTTTAAAATTGAAAATATTAAAATTAAAAATATTAATGAGATAACTAATCTTTGAAATCCAGTGTATGTTTTACACTTACAGGACATTTCAGGCTACTCATATTTCAAGGGATCAAGAGCCACATGTGGTTAATGGCTGCTGTATTGGACAACAGAGACCTTAATTAATGACCTTGACTTTGAGAGAAATGTGTTTTTTCCAGGCCAGAAGTTCTAAATAAGAAGTGATTCTTTTACAGCACCTCAGAGCTCTTAGAGCACCGAGGACAAATTTCATTTGCATCCTTAGAGTTGTCTGACAGACAGCTTTAATACTTGTTCGTAGCAGTGGACTCCACTGAATGTTATCCAAATACGCGTGGCCTCTTTCAAGACCATTATTTCACTGGTCTTTGAAGTTAATCAATTCTGAATCTGTGGAGCACGTTTATAGTGCGACAAATTGATAAGGAACAGCTTTCCATGCCGGCATTCTTAATTTATATTAATTATTGTTGGCCTTGCTTGGAACCTAACATGTAAAAGAAAATAGACAAGATTAGCATAAACTTTTTATGGATGAAAAGAACGCAAGTCCCTGATGGCTCAAAAGACTATAATAGAATATTTAAATTCAGGGCATGGGAAAATTTTTCTGTGACTGCTTTAGTTGCTGGAGTTTGAAACAGAATATGAAGAGAACCTTTTAAAAAATCATATATGTCTCTCATTGCCAAAAGTACCCTCCATTCATAGATGTTACATGGGTATTACAAATAATCAAAAGTCAGAAAACAAGAAATAGAATGTTCAATAATTGATCTAGATAGAAGATGAATTTGATAACAGCATACATTTGATTTTCTTTAGTTCAATCCTTTAGAAAATTAAATATCTAGAGAATAAAAGAACATGGAATGAAGGGCAAGTATTGATTATCTTTGAAATAAATTTAAATATTAGTGGTAAATTCTCTTACAGATTTGATACTACCCATGCCAGCTTTTATTTAATAAAAGGGAAGTTTATACACTCAAGACAGCACTATTTCCCTCCTCTACTTTTATTCTTTGTTGTTGTTGTTAATCCTCACCTAAGGATATTTTTTCATTGGTTTTCAGATAGAGGGGAAGGGAGGATGGGAGGGAGGGAGGGAGAGAGAGAAACACGGATATGAGGGAGACACATCAATCGGTTGCTTCCCCCATGATCCCATGACTGGATATCAAACCCTAAACTCTTTGGTCTGTGGGCTGACACTCTAACCGCTGAGCCAAACCAGCCAGGGTTTCTCTGCTCTTTAACTGAAGCCCCAGAGAATTCAAAATGCCAGTCTACTGTAAAAAGAAAAATGTATTGACGTTCTTCCCACCACGTTAGGATGTCAACTTTGACTAGGCAAGTTCTGCATCCTGGCCTTGGAGTGAAATCCTGCTCTCCACTACCTGGTGACCTATTCGTATCCAGGCTATTTATCTGTAGTCTCAGTCACGTTACAGTTTCTCCCTTTCATCTGTACCCAACTTATACCCA